TCCCTATCAACCTAAAACCTACAGTAGGTTGACATAAAACCAAAACAACACCCATTCTTGTCTTAGGACATTTTATTTGGCAAATTTTAAAATAACAGTAAGTTTATGACATGTTAAATATATAGTATAATTTGCTGGTTTTAAACATACAAAATAATAATAAATATAGTTATGAAACAACCATAACATAACACCAAATGTTGACTAATGAAGGTACATTTATAACAACTATTTATTTGTTAGACTACTGTATTGACAGTGCATTGCTGTAGAGGACCAATAAAACACGAGACAGGTGTTTAGAAAGAGTATAGTTTATTTAGTTTGACATGCAAACTTATCTAAACAAGACACACTTTCAGAAAACAGCCCGGAAACATTATAATGCGCGCGCTCGTGAATATAACCCGCAGTGGTCTTCAATAGTCCTTTGCTCAACAACTCAGCTGAAAAGCAAAACATTACAACAGTCAGACAAAGAGCAAAAGAGCATAGAATTACCAAGAGGCGACACTCTACAATTTAGGAAACAATAACGGGCTTTCTGAATAAATTAAATAAAAACAAAGCAGCTGCTTTCCATCGCGACAGCAATGAAGAGCGATATCACTTAAAAATGGCGGAATCCGGGGCTGTTGCTTTTGGTCATTCTAAGCTCTTTGCATAAAGTTAAATCATAACAGTTACCATGGTTTCTATTTCAAACTATAGTAAACTAAAGTTTGAAACTATAGTTTAAAATAGAAGGTGAGTGGGCCTCGCTACTCCCACCCACCATAACCCTCGCAGCGAGGTCCCACTACCGGCCCCCTGTGTTTCCCTGAGGGTCCTCGGGGGTTGTTTGCTCCCAGCCTAGGGCTCAAAGGCCGCCTCGCCCCAGGGAGTGCACAAGAAGACCGTAATGTTCTTCGCGATATTGCGTTTATGTACGCAAACCGCAAGGAACTACAGCACAAACGGGCCCGGGCCCGTCGGTATTGAACTCACCTTGGTCAAGTACAAAAACCAACACCGGGCGAACTGACAGCGCTGATAGAGAGCACACGAGCTTTATAGGAATGCATATGCAAATTTTTACAAGGCACATCACTGTTGTCTCGTTGTCATGGTGAGCGCTGAAGAGGGCTCACGTGATTGGAGAACACAGACTATATATACAATATATATATTTACATTTTTGGTGCTGTGTATTATTCTGAGATGCAGTAGAATATGGAGACTGATGAATATAATTGGATATATGCCTAGCTAGTGTTGTTCCCATACTTATAAACTTCCGGTGACCGGTTATTGTGAGTTTTTTTTCCCACTTTATACGGTTCCTTTTACAGCATCCATGTTGTAATATAATTAAAATACATTCAGTTAAATAAACTTTGGCTTTCGTTTAGTTGTTCAAGCGTAAAACGAGACAAAAGACCTAGATGAGGTGATTCCCCCTATGTGTAAAGGGCTTTGAATGCCAAGAAAAAGCGCTATATAAATGTAAGGAATTATTATTGTTATAGACTTGTGTGCCCCTGGCTAATTTGAAAATGCTCATTTTAATCACGTTGGATTTAATAAATATTTTCTCTTTCTGAAATTATTCAAAAATAACAGCTAAATTTTATAATAAAATCAAGTTGGATTTAATAAATATTTTCTCTTTTTGAAATTATTCAAAAAATAACAGGTAAAATCTTATAATAAAATTGATTAGATTTTTTACAGACATTTTTAATTAATTTCAAAGCAAAAAAAAAGCCCTAAAATCAGGAAATTATTTTTATTAAATAAAGTTTACATATTAATATTAATGAAATCTGCAAGGCACAAAATGACTTTTTACTGTGTAGAACTGCATTTCTAGGACCCTCAGCATTATTAGAATCCCGTTTTTCCTTTTTCGTCTAGTAGGGATGAATGGGTTTATGGGTGGGATAGGGTCATAATAAGGGTTCCTAAAAATGCAGTCATAAAAATGCAGCCTCTCCGGTTGTGCAGGAACACTAGCAATATTTGTTGACAGTGCAAATGCAGTAGCACACATTTCACATTTTTGGTGAAAAAAATTAAAATTGTTACTGATCAGTTGTTTGATATACCTGTTCATTTGCAGATACTTTGTTGTTAACATGTAATTTTTGTTCATGTTGGTGGCATTATAACTACCAATATAGTGCAATTATTGAAAATATTTAAAATAATGCTTTTTGCTGAGATGGCAAGTCAGTTTAACAAATATTAATTATTATATTATATAAAAAGGCAGCTTTAATAATAATTATGTAATGACGTAATCATGCAATGATGTTAAAGGGTGATTTAGCAACCTCCTCTGAAATTAGTTGGCAACATTGCTCATTTCAAATTAATAAAATCTGCGCAGTACCGATGACCTGTTATCACAGCAAGATGCATGGTGGTTAGAAATGTGTCAAACTTGCTTTGATGTCATGCTGACGAGTGCCAAAACACTCTTGTGATGGCGTGGCGACTGTGTCAGATTAAGCAGTCAGAAGCAGTAGCAAAAAAAAAAAAAAAGTCAGGCGCAATAGCTCTCCACCTCCACCGAATGTGCTTACCAAAAATGCTGAATGCTTATTGGATGAGACTGGCCAAGTATACATTTTAAAAGTTCATTCATTACCTTTCATTTGTTTTTGATTTACATGCGAACAAAAACACAATAAACATTTATTATGAACTGTGTACCTCACATGCAACTTCATTCATTCATTCATTTATTTTCCTTCAGCTTATTCTCGCTGCAGCAAAATGAACCGCCAACTACTTTGGCATATGTTATAACCCATAGGAAAGGGAATTAAAACAACTTATTTAAGCAGAATATAGGATATACGTGGTACGTGTTGCTGGGCATATGTCAATGTTAATAGTATTACTGTTTTACCCTATTATTGATATCTTTTGCAAGACTTGAGTTATCACAAACATTTTGATGTCTTTGACTATTCAAACATGAGCTTAAAACACAGAGACAATTGGCTCCACAACCCAGCAGGTGGGAATGTGGGAAAAACCAGCTCCCCTCCTTTCCTCCTTTTACATTTGAAGCATCTCCCGAAATCCAGATGGTCACCAAGCTCGTTTTCCCTCAACTCACACAGAATGGTCATTACAAAATATGAATGTTCTAAATCAATCCAAGTGACTTTATCAATCATGTTTGATATCATTTGAAATGTCTCAGTGTGACTGGTACAATGGTCTCATTCCCTTTTGAACCACTGTGGAGGGTGTGCCTTTCCTATAGGCAGAAACTCTTCAACCAAATGCAAATGCCTTTTGGTATTTAACACACCCCTTTCCTCGAGGGGATTCTTGGATTTACTACTTAAGGGAAAGTTTCTAAATGATTCTGTTACCCAGATCAGCCCAAAACGTGAAACTTCATGTTCCATGTTATGTATATTTTGAAGTCAGGTATGCGTCTTTTAATCTTGGATTTACCTTTGATAATTTTATGTCTTGTATTAATCGTTTATGAATTGACTGAATTAATTGGCATAATACACATTTATCTGACTATTAAATTGTTATGTTTGAACATATTTTGCTTACTCTGTAATTATTCATTCTTTTTTTATAATAATAATTTTTTCAGGGTTTTCACCTTTATTTTTTGTAGGACAGTAGAGAGAATTGACAGGAAAGCATGGGGAGCAGAGAGAGGGGAAGGATCGACATAGGACCACAAGGCGGAATCGAACCCGGGTCGCCGCAAGCACCAGAGTCCATGTGTCGACGCACTAACCACTACACCATTGTAATTATTCATTCTAATAGATTACGTTGTATCCTTGTTTCCCGCATTTCCTGTGTCAGGTCAGTAGATGGACTAAAATCCAGTTGAGATGGAGCACTGGGCGCACTAATTGTTGTTTAGGGATCCGACTGACTCTTGATATTGATTCAACTGTACTTGGGTGGACTTGGGTGGTAACTGCCGTCTAGGACAACAAGGAGTTGCACGACTAACCTAGATAGGGTACCCGACCCTTGTTTGAAAGTAATTTTATTCTAAATTAAGTGTATATGGGAAACCATGGGCTTGGCTAAACCAAAATTATTACAGACTACAGTAGTCGGTTACATTTATAATAATGGCCCTAACCTCTGATTGTAAATGATATTGTCTTTACTCAAAGGGTGTACATCTAAGGAGGACTAATCAAAAATACTTCAGAATGAGCAAGCATGGGAGTGGTCATCTAAAAGTAGTAGTCATTTACCTCTGTTTAATATTCAAGACTGACAAGAGTGTGACCGTGAGGGGCGTCAACGGCTGGGGTGATTTCTCTGAGCGACTTGAGCACCCGAATGAACAAATGTAATAGTTACGAGTGAAGATAAAAGGTTGAAAAATGTATCTAAATTGTATATTGATATAATCTTCCTAATGTTTTATAATTGAGGTCAGATAAAACAAAATATAAATATATTAATATTCTAAACCACCTCATATTCAAATTAGAGTGTTTGTAACATTGGAAAGACCGAACAGGCATTGAACCTTCATTCACCAGTGGACATCTCCATTGGACCAACTGGGTGGACCTTACACTGTTGACACCAAATACCACTTTCACCATCCAACCGTAGTATTATTATTGATATTATTATGATGAATATGAATGCTAAGTACAATTTTAATTCTACTAATATTGTTATGACTGTCACTGCTGTTCATTATATATTTTTTTCCATTTCTGTTCTATTGCTGCTATTGTGTTCTGTGTTTGGCATATGTTGTGATGTGTTTAGCATATGCATATGTTTTGCACTCTTAATAAAAAAATAAAAAATTAAAATGACATTTAAAACACATACACATATTTCAGTTATGATGCCTCCATATCTAGAAATATTAATAGATATGTTTTTTTAACGATTATGTTTACATAAATATAAAACAAATCACAATCTGTTATCCACAAAATCAAATTAACTTTGAAAAATGATCGTAGGCAAATAAACACATGCAGCACTGAAAAGACTTGTTCAACCATCTTTTATTTAGCAAAGGATGAACAAAAATAAAACCATGCGGCTTATTATTTAGAATTTCTTACAAATTGTAGATCTTTCAGAGCATTACACATTTATGAGATTGCACATTTATGTGTTAGTGAAGCATTTATATACACAGTTGAAGTCGAAATCATTAGCCCTCTTGTGAAATTTCTATTATTTTTCAAATATTTTTCCAAGTAATGTTTAACAGACCAATTCATTTTTCACAGTAGTTCCTGTTTCTTCTGGGGAATATCTTATTTCTTTTAGTTTAGCTGAAATACATTTTTATAAACTTTTTTTAAGGATAATATTATTAGCCCCCAAAGAAATATATATATATATATTTATTCAGTTGACTACAGAACAAACCACAGTCATCCAATAGCTTGGCTAAATAACCTAACTTAGTTAATCTGATTAACCTAGTTAAGTCTTTAAATTGCACTTTAAACTGAATATTAGTTTCCAGTAAAATAACTAGTAACTAGTAAATACTGTCATCATGGTAAAGACAAAATAATAAGTTATTAAAATAATTTTAATCATTAAAACATTTTAAAACTATTTTTAAAACCTTTTTTGGGTTTAAAAATGTGTTGAGAAAAATCTTATCTTTATTAAACAACACTTGGGAAATATTTTTAAAGAAAAAAATATTTTGACTTCAACTATATATATATTCCTATTGTATCGATAGTAAATAATTTAATCAATTAAGAAATTAATTAAGAAATTAAGCAATATTAAGGAGTTATATTGCTCTTAGAGTGTCGAAAAGCTTCAAACTGCAACAGGAGCATTCTCTACAGGCAGGAGTTTTCAGTGACCTTAATAAAGTTCTCCCATAGCTTGGTCCAGACCACTATTTTGCATTCCTTGACCTAAAAGTAAATAAAGATATATTTTATGAAAAACAGAGGAATGTACAGGGATAACCTCCTAAATGTAAATAAGATTTGTGTTATGTACCTGTGCTATTTCTGGGTTCTCATGAATAGCACACAGCTCCTCAACTCCACCCTTTCTGCAAGTGGTTCTGGCCACATCCACGGTGAAGATGTATTTAATCCCAGCAACAACCTGAAAATCAACAAGAAACATGTTCAGACAAAGTTGGGACAACCCTGATTTTATGAAGCATTTGATGAAGAAGAACTACAACAGCTAATACAACAACTTTAAAGTAAAACAATTAAATTCTTATATACGCATTATGATAAAAGCAAAGAAGACTATGTAGGAATTCGGATCATACACATATTTATTGAGCTGGAGAAGGTTACTGCTTATTTCTAAAACAACATAGAAACAAAAAAAAAAGTTTGTTTAGGTTCAGATGTTTTAGATTAGTTTAATGACACAGTCATTAAAACTTAATTACTAAAACATTTTAAAAAAACATTTTAAAAAATCTAATATTTTTTTAATGTTTTTGCAAAATTTTTTCATCAAAGATATTATAGCTAACTAAAACAAAATATGTAGCTATCTATGAAACCGCAAATATTCTCTATGGGAATAAAAGCAAATGTTACAAATTTAAACAACCCGTTACTCATATAACTTAGCCTTGTGACTTGTGAAATACAGGCCCCGTTATGACAGTTAAACCAGAATTGATGACACATTCATACGTGACAGCGTTCAAAGAGGAACAACGTTTATGGGTGTTATTAAAATGAATTTCCTGATTACAAATTAAAGTACTTACTTGTTTTTGGAGCTTGGTGACTTTGGAAACACCTCTCACATACGCATCATTGCTTTGTCTGTTGTACTGGGCCATTGCGAACTGTAGCGCACTCTGAGAATCTTTGTCCATATCCGCATCCGTTGGTCCTCCGACCAGCCCAGCGCTCGACACGGTCAAAATCACCGCCAAGAACGCCACAATTATTTTAAGAAACATGGTCGAACTGTAAATATTGAATCGAACGGTCTTGATCCTTCCTTGTTATGTCAGCAAGTCGAAAGCATAAATAAATCTGGTCTGAGATTATATAAGCAAAACGTCATTCTGGGCGGAGCATCGCGTGTCCACCAATCGCAGCTGTAGGGAGGGGCAGTGGATATGAAAATAAAAACATTAGCCCTACTTTGTAGTCTCTGCTCAAGTCAAGTGCTATTGGGATGCCTCTTTTAGCTTTCTTTTTTCTCCATCTCCCACACAAATCTATTTAGGTATGTGTCTCTGAAGCTGAGTTTGATGGTGTAGCTAATGTTGCAAACATTTTAATGTAAAAGACCAAAACAAAAACATTAATTACTTTTAAAAGGAATATCCTTTAGCTTTAAGATAGTATATATTTACCTCAATTAAATGTTCTATCTTCACTATTAAAATGATCTGCCTATTTTAACAAGTGTCAACTGAGTGGTTTCTTTATTTGTCTGTTGGCAATTTAATTGTGGTTGTCCCAATTTTGTAAGCAGCTTAAACAAGCACGATTTGCAGGTCTTTATGGCTTATAGTCTGGTTTTATAAATCTGTTCCTGCTGTTGTAGCCTAATTTCAACCCAAATAAGAGCAAAGTAACTCAAACTAACAGTGTTTCATTTTGTCAGTGTGTTCTATTTGTCAGAGGTTTATTTAAATCTCATTCATACATAGGTGTATTGCTCAAAAAAGGTTGAACAAACTTCTTCAGGTTTTAAAGTCGTTGACAAAACCACAACTTAGGTTTAATGGCTTCACAATGCTAAAGCTTTTTCTTTTATATATCCAAAGTTTGTGATTTAGTAAATGCCAAAGACAAATGTGCAGCAAACAGCTACAAAAAATGAGACCGCCAGTTTAATAAACACATCAAAAATTAACATGGTTGATTCAGTGAAGGTTTGAGAAGACACATATTATGTATTGTTTTATAAGCAGGTGGCTCTATGGTTAGCACTGTCGCATCACAGCAAAATTGTCGCTGGTTTGAATTCCGGCGGTCTCAGTTGGCATTTCTGTGTGGAGTTTGCATGTGTTCCCATGTTGGTGTGGGAATCCTCCGGATGCTCCGGTTTCCCTCACAGTCCAAGAATGTGCTATACCCAGGTAGCAAAGAATTCTGGCCCAGATTTGGCACAAATCTGGCACAGCAGGCATTCATCCGGCACTGGCATACAGCATGTGAGACAAACATGGCCCTGATTTGGAAGAGGTCGCATCGTCTTTTAGGTGGCACACAATACTTGGGCCAGATGTAAAATGTAGCATTTGGCCCAAATGTTAATTATTGATATGTGGACCATGTAAGTTTGGCCTATCTTGACCCACATTTAAAGTACATTTTTATTATTTTCAAATAAAGAAAAAAAATTACTAATCAGGTCACTTCGAGAAAAGGTACACCCATAGCATGCTTAAATTGCAATGATTTATGGGTTTATCAATTTCATTGCAGTCGTGACACAACAACATATCTGGCCCAATTCAGGCTCAGTTATGGGTTATTAACTTGGCTGAGACTTGGCCCAGATATGGTTCGTGTTTGGCCCTTGTCTGGAAGTCAGACTTGGTCCAGTCAAGTACTGTAATTCACGCATGTGGGTAAAGCAAAAGCTGATTGTGTGGGCCAGAGCTGGGCCAGATTTATAGATTAATTGAATAAACTAAATTGGTCAAAGTGTATGAGTGTGTGTGTGTGTGTGTGTGAATGAGTGTGTATGGGTGTTTTCCAATGCTGGGATGTGGTTGGAAGGACATCCTTTATTTAAAACATATGCTGGAATAATTGGCAATTCATTCCACTGTGGCGACCTCTGAAGTAGTAAGCCGAAGAAAAATGAATGAATATTATAAGCAAATATTATATAAATGCAAATCAATCAACTGACTTTAAGAATCTGGGTTCACAAACAGCTCAAAAGACATTTGAAGTAATTTTTAAAGCTTTACATATTGAAGGAAATTTATATGCAACACATTTTAGCCATGTAGCGCAATTTAACATGGTCAGAGTCAGACTCATAAATGTTATACCTTTTCTAAAAACATCACATTTGTTTAATCCTTTGTCTCTGCTTATCATGAAAGCTTAATTCAATCAATGTGAATCATACAACTTAACTAATTTAATCAGTGTGAAACAGAAACTAAACTAATTTAATCAGTGTGAAACAGAAACTAAAATAATTTAATCAGTGTGAAACAGACAATTGAACTAATTTAATCAGGGTGAAACAGACAATTGAACTAACAGCAGGCCAATTAATCACTGTAGTTTGCAGAAAAAGAGGTGTGACAGCCATTTCCTTTCAAGGAAACGAGGCAGTAGCTACTTCATTGTTTAAAAACTATACGTCATCAATATGTTTTCAACAACACCGTTAATTTAAAGATCAACATTTAACTATAATTGTCTAGGTATAATCACTAAAAATTGTTAAAGGTTATTGTATTTATGGCTGCAAGATTTTAGCATATTGTGAGTTTAGATCATTGTTTCCCAAAGCTCTTCCTGAAGTGTTTAAAGTAATTATTCAACCCTGATCCCGTAGATAAACTGTCCAGAAGAAATCTGCAACCTCATGATTTATATAATAACCCATGAAAAAATAATATAGTATTTTATATTAAAGATTATAGTGTTTTAATTGATACTATAGCCTATTAAAATGAACTATACTGTATATTTAACAGTATTTAAGTCTTTGTTAATGAATGTGTAATGGAAAATTGTTTTGTAGTATGCAGAGAGAAGCAGAATGTACCGGCCAAGGCCATAGCAAGACATTGTAACACTACTATAAGTAAGAAACCAGAAAAGGCTCTTTTTCCTAAACCAGAGATCTTTCCTGGAGTTTGGCACAAATTTGAGTGTACGTGCACTGAGGGGTACAACTGATAGTGACACATTCTCTTATTCACTTTGTGTGTGTGTGTGTGTGTGTGTGTGTGTGTGTAGGTGTTATCATGCAAAACCATTACTCATTTTTGCTTTGCTCAAGCCCAGGGGTGCCCAAACTTTTTACTATAAAGGGGCAAAAAGCAAACTTTAATGAGGGCTATGGGCCAAATATACCAAACCATAAATATTAAATTTGCCATGAGTAATTTCCCAGTTTATTCAGTATTATTTTAAAAAATAGAAAACATTGCTTTAAATCATATTAACGAATGTAGTGTTATTTGAAACATTTAATAATGAACTTATAACAGTAAAAACATAAACTATCCCATTTATTACACAATGGAGTTCAATGTGGTCAAGCTGTTTTCTTTAGATATTTCTCGCAGATATCTTATGTCTCGCAGATATCTTATATTTTAAAAGTCTGAACATTTAATTGAATCCTTTAATTTCAGTTTGTAGCTCAGCAATAAAACAATGAAACAAAGGTTACATCAAAATCGAAATGATGATGTCTGTAAAAAGCATTCGTCACAACCCTCCCTGTCTTTTCAGATGAGATGGCGGACCAAATCAAAGGTCACTATATGGGCCAACTTTGGGCCTCTCTCCTCTAACCCTTGTCTGACTCCAGTGGTTTTAACAGATTTCCACGACAAATGCTTCAGCATACTTTAGTACCAATTCCGAAATGATAAACTGTAAAAAATACTGTAGCCTTTAATTTCTACAACAGTAAACTGAGGTGTGATGTAGTGAATGTAGTTGTAGAAAACTTAGCAGTCTACACTATTGGGGAATTTGTCCCATACATTAGCTCATTTGTCCTACTTTGATATATGTTGTAATAAATATGTAATTTAAAAATAAGTATTATTTTACATTTCTTCATTATAAATCTTTTAGAAATGTTTTTGGTACAGCAAAAAGTGTTGCATGCAAAACTGTTGCAAACAATTTATTTGTGTTGAATTTAAACAAACAAATTAAGTTTAATAATGTTCAACTATGTTTGTTTAAATTCAACACAAATAAACTGTTTACAACCACTTAACATAAAAAATTTAATAAATTCAAGTAATCATCTTTGAATAATTTTTTTTCAGTAAAAAGTGTGGTTATATTAACATTTACATTAAAAAGTACTATACGGTACAAACTCATAATCGAGTAAGTTGGTTGCACATCCTGATAGATTACAAACTGTGTGTTGTTATTAACCATTTTCTACAACAATACAGAAACATACATGCATATAACAAGACATACAAATGGAAAATAACGGGGAAAATGATGTTAACAGAGTTTTATTTATTTATTTATTTGTTTATTTATTTTTATAATAACAAAATGAAACATTTACATTATATCACATTTCATGCCAGGGATCAAAATAGAAATATATATTTTAAACAGATTCACAGTTTTTACAGCTTTGATGTTAGTACATTCAGAAATCAAAGACATATAAAGTTTTAGATCTTCAAGAAAAATCTCACAGAGTTATTTTATAAATGAGCTGTCTTTGACAGATGACGTTGCTGTTTTGACCAATGAAATCTACAGAGGGGCGGGGTTTTCAGCAACTAACCGTGGGGAGAAAACGCCTTCTTTGCTGTCGGGGGCGCACATTGAAAGTTTTGATGAAGATTTTGTACTTTGGACATTGCATAACAGCCTATTATTTGTCTTATTCAAGGACTCCTTGCTAGGAAAACGCACATCGGCATAACTGACGATGGGTTTTCAGGACACTGTTTTGCAGACAATTGATAGCGTCAAGTGAGTAAATCTGTTGAACAAGGAATACAGTTGTGCTAGCGCAGTATCATACTGTTTAGGGCGCAATTAATCCATTACCTTCGGCATGCAACGGTATGCCAAGTCATTTCGAGGTCATTGTGTGCACTACCAGATTTGTGCAACTCCTCCAAATTCGTTGAATAGCAATTCTGTGTGCAATGCAGAATCATTTAGCTGAAAATTCGTTATTGCTGTTTGTTGAATGTGTTTGCACGGCATTCATTCATGTGATGTAATCGCTAATGTTTAATCAAATTATCTCGACTTTAATCATTAATTACTTCATTGATTTTCATATATTTCAAATTATTCAATATGAAATAATTAGTTTGTTCTTGAAAATGCACTTAAGGAAGAGTTAAGTAATAGTTTTTGAGTTAGTTTACCAAAATAACCCATGTTTCTTATTTTACTAGGATAGTCCCACTAAAATATATCTTACATGATACCTGGCCAAAATGGCAGATCAAAGAGTTTCCTAGATATGCACATATAAAATACAACACTTTAAATGCAAAATAGTTAAATACAAAATTATATCTAACACACATACGGGCCGCAGATCATATATTAAACAAGGATGTAATTGTTTTCTTAAGGCTGGTTTTATTGATTAGGCATCACTTGTCTCAGTGTATGGTGGTAGAACAGTGGATCAGAATCTCCCCCCAATGAAGACTTGTTTTTTTTTTAATTATTCAATTAATGTTTATTTTTATTTAGCGCTTTTACAATGTACATTGTGTCAAAGCAGCTTAACATAGAAATTCTAGTAAATTGAAACCGTGTCAGTCCAGTTTTCAGAGTTGAAGTGCTGTTTAGTTCAGTTCAGAGTGGTTTAAATTTCACTGCTCACTGCTGAAAGTTCAAACATTGAAGAGCAAATCCATTGATGCACAGCTCCACAAGGCCCAAACCAAGGAAGCAAGTGGCTACAGTGGCTAATATCTATATTTTTATCTTCAGATTATTATTCCATCTATAGCTGAAATTTTTGAAATTCTGAAGCAGTTTTAGAACAAATACTGATTAATTTGTCACAAGTCTCCTGGCAGCAAGTGGTCTAATTTTGTAAAAGTCTGTTTTGGGAATAATTGATTGATTGAATAAATGATTTATACTGCTTAGTATAATGATGCCTAGTGTCAATTATAAGTCACATAGTGGTAATTCTTTTTTAAATGTATGGCTTTCTTCACATTTAGAGGGACACTTGACAACCTTGACCGGTCCAAACTACAGCTTCTGGCACTCTCTTCTGCTGGAGTTGGAGCACTTTTGTGCTATTTGTCATGGAGAAAAGGCCCCAAAACAATACCAATAGGAGATGGCTGGTGGGGAGCTGGACAGAAGTCTTTAACTGAGGACAAAACCATTCAAAGATTTGTTGTGAAGACCTCAGTGGAAGAGATAGAGGTGAGTGTACTAAAAATGTGACTAAAAATAAGTGCATAATAAGAGGGAGCGTTTTCAAGATAAAGAATGGTGTGAATCAAAACTTCAACATCAAATGAATAGGTTCAAATGCTAAACATACACTCAATGAACCACTATATATTATTAACTTCTCTGTTTTCCTCAGGATCTGCACAAACGCATTGATCTAACACGTTTCACTGATCCACTGGAGGATAGCAAGTTTAATTATGGATTTAACTCGACTTACCTTAGGCGGGTAGTCTCTTATTGGAGGCACCAGTTCAACTGGGAGAAGCAGGTGAAGGTGATTAACCAGTATCCTCACTTCAAAACCAAAATTGAAGGTGAGCACCTAACACTTTGAAAGGAGATCCTTTACTCTACTAGATGAAGCGTGTTGTAAAAAGCATGCAATTTTCACCTTTCAATTTTCACATCATGCACTCACCAAATATGTTTAGGCATATCACAATCCATTTGTTCACATGTTAGTGTCTGTTGTGTTTTTCAGGAATAGATGTGCATTTTGTGCATGTGAGGCCTCTTCAGAAGTCTGGCCAGACGGTTGTTCCTCTCATGATGGTTCACGGCTGGCCTGGTTCCTTCTATGAGTTTTACGGGATAATCCCCTTACTCACCAAGACCGATTCCAATGTGGTCTTTGAGGTCATCTGTCCCTCCATTCCAGGCTACGGCTACTCTGAAGCGCCACATAAAAAAGGTAAGTCTGTCATCTTGCGACAGAAAAAGGACTGTGATTGTGCATCTGCAACTGTCATAATAGATTTCAATGAATATCTTTCTTAGCAATATGTTAGCAGATGACTTCGCTAAACTAACACAATACAACAGGACAAACGTGCCAGCCAACATGGCAAAACAAATTGTAATATTGATATTATACTTATAAAACCCACAAATCAACACATTCTTACCTGTATTCCATTTCTTTGGAATGTAAATCATGTCTGTATTTATTCTTTGCAAACACAGGCTTTGCAATGTGTGGCATATTGGAAAACACATTATTATTTTACTGTGAATCACGACACATTGACATTTTCAAGATAGAGGAAAAAACAACGTAGCAGGAGTAATCGAGTGTGGCATCACTATAAGGCATGGGCCAGTAAAAGATTCTGATGGTATGATAACCTTGGATAAAACTATCACAGTATTAGGATTACTGCTCTAAAATATATTATTTTTAACTGTCTGTGAAAAAACTAACTTTTTTCCTATTGAACACAATATATTTTATTTTAAGAAACATTTAATATATTTTGGAACAGTAAACTTTTTAGGCTAAATAATTAAAATAAATCATTGACTTTTGCTATGTTCTTTAACACGGATTTAAAAACAGATTATTTACTACTTAAAAAGGCATCTTTGGATATGTTTTTTTTTTGGATATGAAGTAAGATCATAGCATGCATGAATGTTGGTGCATAAGCTATTTGTTTTTCAAATGATGAAATGTGGACTGCCCAGTAGCTTTTGATGTGGATGCTCCTTTGTGCTGGATATACGGTTGCCCTAAAAAGTATTTGAAAACATATAAACCCTAAAAATATATACTTATCCCCCATAATAACAACAACTATATATATA